ACGCTGAAATGAAAAGCAATATCCAAGTCATGACAGACACGCTTGCATTTTCTGTAGCAGCCGACCCGCACGTGCAGTGGACAGTGCACAGGAAGGCTTGAACCGTGAACTTGGCAACTGTATTCAGATTGGCACCTGTGAAAAGACCTTCTTACAAAAGTAAGTTGTTCATCTTTTAATTCATGAAACAGTCGTTAATAAGTAGTTGAGGGAAGCATTTAGTCTGCAGAAGCTTTATTACTGCAAGTGACTCATATCAAGGGAGAAACTCCAGCCGAATCGAGTTTTTATGGTTTCTGTGATGTGGCAGCAACAAAAGCGACAGCACGTGCCCTCACGAAGGAAGCCCGTCCGGCCCGTCACTTCAAGGTACAACCGTATGTGGAAAACGAGGAAAGCCGAACGAGGCCTTCATCGTTACCACACAGTGCTTTGCAGCGTACTCTTGCAATGCAAGAGACAGAGAAAGGAGTGGTCTGTCCCCTTACATTACGGTTTTTCTTATCTGTTTTAACAAGTATTGGTTTCATCTAAAAGCCGCACCTTCTACGTGTGTGGTGCCTGCTGGGAAAGCCAGACTGATTTTCCTGCAGGTCCTTCAACAACTACAACTTGGGAAGATACCTAGCAGCACTGTGTTTCTCCAAGCACTTCCAGTTTGACTGTAAAAGTGTTCATTCTGAGATGGTTTGAAATCTGGATCCTCAATTAGTGTGCGGAGAGGCTCGCCCAGCGGAGTGATGGTTCAAGCTGGCTCTCAGGGGAGATTCTTGGCTAGCGGCACTTAACAGAAGGAGCTGGGGTCCTGCTGGGCCAGCCTCTTTTCCAAGTACAACACAGGCAGCCTGAGATCAACTAACAACCACAGTTCCTAGTTTATGCCCATTAATGCCAGCTGGTCTGTAGCAGCTCTGGCTCCAACGGTCTCTTTGGCTGCCATTAGCAATGATGCAAGGACAGCATTCCCTTACAAGTCTGCTTTCCTTCCTTCTGCTTTGCCGAGTAAGAGGAAAACCACTCATCATCAACACTCATCTGGTGTGTCAGCTTGAATGGACATGTGTTGGAACATCTCTCCTTCAAGCGAGGCAGTAGTAGCTCGATGCACAGGCTGGAATAACTGGTGGAAAACCTCTGAAAAGATGATTGCAGCGTTGAACCGTCTTCCTCCTCCCCCTCAGAGGGCTCCATGTAGTCAACTTTGATGCCTGAGAAGCAAGAGATCTACTCAATTTCATCTTCTTCCCCTGTCCCACATGCTCCCCAGCTCGCTCCTTGCCAGCAGCTGACATTCCATTTTCAAAAGTACTTGCAAGCTGTAGCAGGCTGAGGAGATATCTTCTGCAGCGCTCATCCAGCAAGAAGAAAAAACGGCAGTTTACATCGGAAGGCCGCAGTCTCTGCTTTGTTCCCATCCACAGTGTGAGAAAGCAACCCTCCTCTTGGTCAGCTGGCACAGGGGTTCACTGATAAAAGGGGTCTGGAAGGACTCGTGATTCCTTTCCTGAACCGTGCAAATGTCCGACTGCCAGCTTTGGAAATGAACTACAAAACCCTTTGTTTCCTTTGCCTGTGACTCACATCAGGCAGAGAAAAAGAGCTGAAAATGAAAGTTTAAAGGAAAAGCCCACACTAAAACAATTTACTGAAGGTGCCAACGCTTTCAGTATTGTATTTCAGTATCCTAGTCCAGCATTCAGCATCAGCCATTAGCTTGCAGGGCAGGGACTGGCTGTGGCTAAAGACAGACGTATTTCAGCCCCAGTTAGGGATGTGGCATCGCCAGCTTTTCGCTTCCCCCACCAGCTCCCGAGAGAGAGAATGCAGGATTAAGGAGTCATTACCCCACTGCCAACCCAATCATGCAGAGCGGAGAGCCAGGCTGGTTTCCAGCTTTATTACGCGCAGGAGGAAGGCGTGCAGAGATATGATCAGAAGATACCCTCGGCTGAGATGGACCAGGCCACGCTCCAGCGCCCAGAAGCACACAGCCGGTCAGGCGCTGGACTCCAGGTCAGTGTGGTTTCCGATGGCTGGCATCGTGCTCACACGCACCGTCCCCGTCCCCCTCAAGGTGATGCGAGGATAGCGCTCATCACCCGTAACCAGACTGCGGAAGAGCTTTGAAGCATATGCTGGACTTCTAAGAAGATTTTAGACATGCACAGGGAACAGACTGCAGAACGGGGTGGAGAAAGCTTGCACATTCAACAGGTGCCCCTGAGAACGCGCTTCATTTGGATTGGGAAGGTGGTGCCTCCTTCGGGCACTTGGCAAGGCTCTGGTCTTTTAAAGAACTTCCCGGTATGTTTAGACCACGTTCAAAACGCGTGGCTTTCTCTGTGCTGAGGATGACTCTGTAATGCACTCCTTGGTAAACACCGAGGGGTATTTCCTCACGAGGAACACCTAGCCAAAATAATTCGAGGTACCACCACTCACATTCCAGGGCTATCAAGTCCCTGTACTGAGTTTGGGCACCTATAAACGACCACCGGCTCCCTGGAGCAGTGTGGATCTAGGATGGAGTATGGATTTATATCGCCAGACCTTTCCCAATATTTTGGTTTTAAACAAAAGGTGTTCCTACATTCAACAGCTGACTCAGCCAAACGTTTTCCACCTTTCCCCTCTCCGCGTGTAACTTGTTTTCCACCTGCAGCGCTTCGTGTTGCTTCAAACACGAAGTTGTATTCCTCATGCATCCCAAGGCCTGCATCCGTCACCTGTTAAAACCAATACTCCGTAAGTAATGGCTGTGACAATTTTAGGGAAAAACCCAGCATGCTTTTAAATTTAAAGCAACTTGTACTACCGAGTTCAGTGCAGGGGCACCCGATTCCACCTTTGTTCAGATCAGCCAGAGCAATGCCAGGGTCAGAGAGGGAAAAGGTAGAAGCGCTCCCACTCCCCAGCCACATCCCGGCCCATTTGCTACAAGCGGCCAAGCGAGACCAGAGCAAGGAATGATGGAGAAATTGATCTCCTCTTACCTATCTGGTTGCTCGGTGCCTTTGCTGGTACAGATTTCCGCGGACCGAAAGAGGAAAGGGGAGCGCGGGGCGTGTGAGCTGCTTCGCCAGTGCAGCGGAACGATAAGCCCTTCCCCGGAGGTGACACACACAAACCGCGCAACGCCCGAGTCCCACGGGCTGTTCCGCACCCGCGCGCAAGACCTCCTGCGCAACGGAGGCCTATACCTTATGGACCGGGTAGGCCTTGTGCTGCCTTTTCCTTGCCATCTGTCAGGGAGATCCCTCACTCCAAGCACCCCCAGCAGTACACCGAACCATGGGCAGCACCGCGTGAGAAGGAACAACAACAGCACCGACAACAAACCACCCAGAGGCCAGTGAAGCTCTGTGACAAGAACGATGATGTGTGACGAACGTAGGGGTGTGAATCACGTGCCAACAACACTCCACTCGAACGCGAGTATTCAAAAAACACGCCTCCAGAAGGCATTCGGAGCAGCAGCGAAACTAGACGCCTGTTCCAATGCCTCCAGCAGTTTCTCTTTCTTCCTTTCCCAAAGAAAATGGTGCTGAAACAGAGGAAGGCTAGCCTGGGGGAACTGAAGTCAGCCTCTACGATTAAACTTCCTTAAACCTCAAACTTCCTCTGGAGTTTTCACATCTCGGTGTTTTATAGTTTCCCCCAGCCCACCCGACTGCACTGAAAACGTCCTTCCAGCACAGCATTAGTGATTCCAGGGCAAACTAAGTACGTGTGTAACGTGTATCCTGTCTACCCACCCTCCCCCAAAATCTTTTAAAAATAAATGATGCATCAGAACCAGAATAAGAAGATTGAAAAATTTTATTTGTACTTAGCACATACAGGGAAGATCAAAACAAATATTAAAAGACAGCATTTTGTAAACCAACACGTTTCACAGAAAAGTTAAACGCTATCGAATTTGCTCTGAAAAAAAATAAAATTCATGGTTATAGCTGTTTATAAATGTGTATTTATCAAAATCAAGTTAAAAACTACTTCATTTCTAAAATATCCCAAATGAAGATTCATTCGTTCCAACAACTTCAGAGAGACCACTGAGGTAAGGTCTAATTAAAACAAACGCATGAGTGAAGATGGCACTGTTTCCCATTTTTACAGAAAAAATAAGAAATCGGCAAGTGATCACACTATCAGCCAAGCCGATTTGAAGACCAACATCTGTACAACATACATTCAACTTCCCAAATGTCTAACTTAAAAAAATAGAGCTATTTCACTGGATTGTCCTCATCTTGCAGTGTACTAATCATGAACCCGCTCGGAGAAAAGTTACCAGTAGGTAGTTGCACGTGATTCTACAGTTCACTTCCAAAATCACATTAAAAATGAGACGACAGCAGCACCCTTTTAGCAAGGATTCATTTTTAACGTTCTCGCCTTTATAGCAGAAGGTATGGTTTTGGGGGGATGCTATCAACATAATCAGCATGTCAAAAAAAGGAATACACACACTCCATGAAGTTTATTATGTGCAGGGCTCAGTGATCAGCACCTTACACTCACAAGCTGCCCAGAGAAGCTGTGGATGCCCCATCCCTGGAAGTGTTCAAGGCCAGGCTGGATGAGGCTTTGAGCAACCTGGTCTAGTGGAAGGTGTCCCTGCCCATGGCAGGGGGGTTGGAACTAGATGGTCTTTAAGGTCCCTTCCAGCCCAACCGTTCTGTGATTCTATGATTCAATGGGCTCCCTTTGTTGGCGGTCCACAACCCACTTGGATTGCCAGTGTGAATCCAGTTTTCCCCTCCCCCCACTCTCCTATTTGCATCTCAGCTAAATCAAAGTTTCTCAAACTTCATCTATTAATATGACTCAAGAAGAAACAAGATAATAAAAATAACTAAGGCACAAATGGCTGATCTCCAGCAGCAGGCAGAGGGGTCACAGATCCGAGAGTACGCTAAGAGGTAAATCCCTAGAAATATTCCTGGTCTTGGGGTGCTGAAAATTCTTACCAGCTTTCATGAGAGGCTTTTCAAGACTTTTTTTTACAAAGATTCAGAAAGTCCTTTTCCCAAGAACGTCCACGAACACCAAGCAGGGATGGGTGTACGTACAGAGACACACACTTTAGGCGCGGTACACTTGGAACGCACTGCAGACGGACAAGGAGCACGGGATGCAATGATGGTCTAAGATGGCAGGTGAAATGAAGATGACTGTTTTTCAGAGAGTCGTCATGAGTTTGTCTTGGAACACCAGACTCTGGGCTCCTCCTAAATTCTTCTGGTTCTGTTCCTGGATATACCGTAAATTGCTGTCCTCTCCACTTGTGGGGGGTTTCCAATAGGGCCTGTCATCGTGATAGGGTGGCCTGTACCATTTGCACAGTTAGTGGTTAGTGAGAGATGGAAGCAAACTTACGAGCGCTACACACTAACACGAGTTCATCCAGCAAGTGCCGAGCGTGCCCACGGCGTAACGGGCAGCTACCAGTAAGGGAGGGAGGTGGCCGCACACCTACAGGACTGATGCGGAGGCCGCTGAGGCAACTGTGAGTCTTTGAGCTGACTTCAAAAGGCTTTGAATCAGAGCTCAGCCCTCAAAACTCCTCCCTGTTTTCAAGCGGTCCAGACCAGTGCTGCACATCAACGCTCCTGAATCCCAGAGGGATGGTGGGGAGGGAGGAGGCGGCTGAAGGGAAACTAAATCCCTACAACAAACTCTATCACGCAAGAAGTTGAGCTCATGAAAATACAACCCTAAGGCCTGAAAAATTAAGAAAGGCAATCCTGATTAATGCTAATGGCTCTCCTGTCAACACTGCCGTACGTGGGGCACTGGTGCTGTTAACGACACCGAAGCACCCTATGAGGCACACGGTCGCCTTTGTTGGGGTGAACACCCACAGCCTGTAGCTAGCATGGGTATTTCTCCTCCGACTGCGGAGCAAAGCTTGCAAAAGTACTAAGGGGAAAATTATTTTTTCCTTATTAGTTCATTCTTACTGCTGCTTAGAGGTATTAACCACAGCCACTCCTACAGCGTCTCCTGAATTGCTTGGGGGCTGCGTGTAAATACACAAAGAAATACAAATTTTGAACAGTATGTCGGCAACCACAGTAAGATTCCCTTACTGCCAAGCTGAAGTGGCATTTTTATTCTGTGGGGCTTTTTTTGTTGTTTTGGTTTTTTTAATGCTAGCAGAAATGCAGGCAGGTTTAGATTTTACTTTTTTTTTTTGAGAGATATTCTAAAGTTGTATTATGTAATGACAACTGTTAATTGGAATGAATTTTCTCAGAAGGCTGAAGATTACGTTAACTGCAAACAAATAATTTCATCACTGAAAGGATTTTACCAAGAAGACTGAGACACAACTCCACACATTATTTCACAAACCGTTCAACAAAAAACCACACGTAACACATATTGCACAGGTAGTTTTCATTTCAGCCCTTGGCCCACTCCACACCTGCCTGCCCAGCAGAATGCATTTCATGCATTTGTGCTTTGATCTCAAGTTTGTAAGTCAGATGGATTAAGCTTTCTCAAATTAAACTATCCAAGATGTTAAATGTTCAACTGTTCTGCTGTGACTTCAAGAATAACTTAAAGCTCCCACTTCAAGCACCCATCTAAACGCTTCTACCTGCCTGGGAGAAAAATTCCGAGCACATTTTCTACCGAGCTTGCACAACTGAGCTTTTAAGTATGTTTTTTAGACCTACAAGTCTAGCTATAAAAAAAGCCATTGTTCCTATTTCACTGACCTTAATCTTTGCCCAGGCAGCGGAGGGGCTGAAGGGGGAGGTTGCCTACACACTTTACAATACATGATTGTGCTTATTTCAGTATCACTCTGCTCCAGGGTGAACCGTTTGGCTTTTCAGTGTTACAGACTAGTACCATAAGAGAAGAAATATTCCAAGAAATCTCAGCAAAACCTCATTTATGAAATCATTAATCTCTCTCGGCAATCACTCTTTTGTAACATGAAATTGTGTATTTTAAATCACACACACGTAAATGAACAAGAAATACCTAAAACCAGAAGAATATTGATTGTGAAGAACAGGCAAAGTTAATTACCCAATTTTAACTGTCCTCTGTGTAGCATAAATTTAATATCTGCTTTACTGCTGTATGCCTGGAAGCTTTAGATGACAATATGTCTGCCTCTCTGCCCAGTAAGTATTTCTAATAACATATTTGCCTTTTTCCTGTATTCTCAGAGTCAAACTTGGAACAAACTGTCTTTCCATCCATTTTAAACTCAGCCTCATCTCCAGAGTCTGCCTACGCTAGGAACGAAGTCTCCCTATCCTGATGTAAGAATATGGAGATAAAAACGTACGATGAATAGGAATGAAGATGAGGGCATTGGTATTTTCCAGTCAAGACAGTAATTATTTGTCTAAAAAAAGGAGTAACCCAAAAAAGTTACTTTCTCTTAGGACAAAATAGCAGCTGATTTTTATCACGTGTACACGCAGACACAGACACCACCCAGCAGGCACGGAGCCTCCACTGGTGCGTTCCACCAAGCTGGTTCTACCTTGGACTGAATTTCTTTTGAAATTTCTTTTCACTCAATTTCTCTCATTAATAGTTACAAAACAAAAAAGCGTGTGAGCAGATAGCACAGTAGCACACACAGGAATGTTTTTGTGAAATGGTTCTCAAGAGCTCAATGTTGTGATTTCACTGCCACTAATTATCTGTAAAGTGCCTGACACATTGTTCCACACACATGCTATTTTTCCATATACCTTTCTGAAAAAGATGAAAAAAAAAGTGCTGCAATGCCAGAATCTGTTAACTCATAAATTAAATTTATCCTAAAATGAGTTTCTGCTTTGCTTAGGAGATTTAAATACCGATCAAATTGCACCTAGTTTTACTGAAGCTACTGAGCATCTTCCCACCCAACATACTCCCTACAGAAATACACTGAAGTTGCATTTCAAATTCGGAATTAAAACTCCACTTGAAAAAATTCTTTCATCAGCAAGGTTAGGATATGCCAAAGCAAAACCTAAACCGAAGTTGTTTAAGACTGCCTGTGCAGCACATATTTCTAACTTCTGTTTTTCATGTGCAGAAAAATCACCTGAATACATCCACCAAAGCTTCACAACAGCAGATTAAGAAAGAATTAATTGTCTTTTTCACAAAGTGAAGATTGCTTACCTGACATTCACAGGTGTATGTGGATGCCAGTGTGGCTGAGCAGGATGTATATTAGGATGATACTGTGGCTGCAAGTGAAAACATTGAACCCAGTTAATGAAGTCATATAAAAACTCCCTATGAACTTTAACTTTTTGTTTTCCTGGGGCCATGAGGAATGTGCCCCACCTAAGCCCTAGAAACCCCACTGTTTCAGACCTTCTCCCATGGCATTTAGCATATACATGGGGCCTCCTGGTGATGAGCTTGCCCCTTAGGGCACACTCATGGGCAAATGCAAAGAAAATTGCTTTTCTGTTTGAGACAACCTGGCACATCCAGCGCTTCTCATAGAAATCACATCAAAAGGACGTCAGCTTTAATCAAAGGTGGAGAGTGAGAAAGGTTACTGTTGTAACAGCAGTCTTCAGAAGGTCACCTAATTTTGGTGACAGCATTTCCCTCTCACATCCATGAGATCTTGAGGAGAAACAGTGAAACAAAATCACCAGTGAGGCTTTTAATAAAAAACAAGTGTTAAGGCTCAGTTAAGGATGAAATCACAGCTTGTTTTCGCAGTAGCACTGACTGCTAGTGTAACAGATGAAAATGGGGTAAGCGTTTTCCCTGAAGTGTGTAAAGGAGCTTGTTTAAAAAAAACAAACTGAGCCAAACCAACAAACACTGAACTCCTTAAGTGTTGTGATGGGAAAGACAATTGCAAGTCTGAACTCGCTGTCACAGATCATCCAATGTGACAGCCTGCTCTACACAGAAGCTTGCTCACAGACCAGTCTCCTGGGGTCCATCATATGGTCCCAAAGGTCTTAATATGGGATTGCAAGGGAAAGAAAGGGAGGGAATTTCAAGGGAAGGGAAGGGATTTCAAGGAAAGGGAAGGGAAGGAGGTGGCAGATGGAGTGTATTCAGTTTGCAGAGCATACCAGAACACCAGGGAAGAAAGAGGAGTCCTCCCACTCTCCCCCCTCTTTAACTCCCAATACGATGCTGTTTATTTCTGAACCACCTCAGAGAATCTCGCCCCAAAGTAACAAAAGGGGAGCAAAACAGCTGTACTAATTATAAAGAGCAAAAATATTTACGACTAAGCAAGAAAGTGACAATATTCTCCTTGACAATTGTTATGCTCTTACCTGGTAGTTATGGACTTCGGGAGTATTTTTAGCACTAAGGGAGGAGAAAGAAAACAAACATAAGTTTTTATGTCAGCCACACATCTATGTCACAATTTCCCATAGGTCAGGGTTCTGCTCTTCAGGGAAGTATTACAGCGAAGTACAACTCATTCTTAAGGACATCAACGTTTTATTCAAGATACACAACACAGCAATTAGGGTGCAAGAAAGAAGGGTGCAAAAATTATCTCTTCATTTTACCTTTATGAAACAGGAACAAATTATGCTAGACAAATGAGCAAAACAGCAACGTGCAGAAAGGAAATATGCTTCATTTTAGTCTGATCCCAAACAAAACACAAACAAAAAAACCCCAAACAAAAGGAAAAAACCAAAGAAGCACTTAAAGTCTCACAGGCAGTCCCCAAGAAGAATCCCATGCGGCATAATGGGAGATCCCAAAGCAATTCATCCCACACCAGAGAATTTGTTTTGACAAATCCTAATGCAGAAATGTCTTAAGAATCTTTTTTGCCTGACAACAGCAACCGAGAGGCAGACAGAAGTGGGGCAGTCACTTACCACAGTTGTGCTGCTTTCACAGGATTGTTTGCTTAAAAAGAAACAAACAAAAGACCTTGAGACACATGAAATATCAGTCATTTTGCAGCTATCGCGATCGGGATGTTACAGCACAGCGTAAGCAAAGCCTCGTATTCGCAGGACTGCATCAGGATGGCAAGCGCAGCCCTGCGCTCTCCGGCGTTCCTGGGCGAGCACGTGAAGTATGAGGCAGACGCGCACCTCCCTCTCTTTCTGCCTGAGTCAAAGCCCATCAAAGATGACAGCAGACGAGCATTCCTCCCAGATGTCTCCACAGAAGGGCTTTTGGCAGAGGGAGTTCTGCACAACCGGAGCACTACTTTTCTCACCTTGCCGTAAGCTACCATGTCAATACCACTGAATCCCTTGGAAATCAGAAGCTACCCCTCACAGCAATTTTGCACCTTACAGAAACCAGAGTGTTCCTGAAGTTGGTAACGGCCTACACCATCTTGGGAGTATGGGAAGGCACTGAGCAATCCTGAGCAACAAGGTCTTAGCTTGTGCTTTGGACAGGCTGGAAAGAATGGCGAAGGCGGCGTAACTGGGACGTATCATTTCTTTTGCCTGACAAACAGCCTATTTTTCAAGAGCACTGAAAAACTGCTGAGCGATACAGTTGAAAACCCAAGTCCCTGCCGAATGCATAAAGTGGATGACAGGCTTAAGGAGACACTGTGGAAGTCTCAGACCGAGCCAGGAGAGAATCCAACACCTGTGGGCTGCAACTAGGTACAAGTCTTAGTGGCCAAGAGACATGTGAAAGACAGTAATCTAAAGGGATCTTTTGCATTAACAAGCACGCTACTGAGCTCGCTGCAGGGAGATCATCCGGGTGTGACAGAAGCTCTGCCTGGCTGCTGTGCACAGAGAACTAAACTCAGCATAAGCCACGCTGCCTCTCTTCTCCCCTCATCTCACAGGCACAAGTACGGAAGCACTGAAACACACGGTGTAACCTGCAGGTCTGAGAGATCTTGTTATTGTAAAAATAAAACGAAAATAATCAATCCTTCCACTTATGAAATCATCCACGCTTACCATATAATTGACTCATGTATCACATAACAGTATCTCACAAATTTAATAAATCTGCATTCTGTAAAACAATGACAAGTACTAAGGTAAGGAGGTGTTACAGCCTCTAGAAACCACACCAGCTTGCTACCCTTTCCCCCATCATTGTGCATGAGAAAAAAATACCATAATACCACAGGGATTTTTCATGGAATTGAGGTCATATTCAAGGAATGCAAAGGAGCACAAAGACATCCTAAGGGAATGTCAGCTCACCCTCTTCCATACAGCAACTACACCTCCAGCCTCAAATAATCTGGAGAGGCTTGTCTTGAAGTGCTCCCTCCTAGGTTTTTCTACAAGGAATAAAAATCTCAGCTGAAGCTTTGAAGGACAAATAACAAAACCTCATGGGAAATCAACCCCTTGTCATTCCATTCAAATTCAGCACATTTCAACTCCCAGAGAAAGCTGGTTAAGGTTAGGGCCTAGACAGGTGAGTAACATGCCATTACAGTCAGCAAAGCAGCAACACCTGCGTGATGAGACTGCCCAATAACCCCAGAGCTGCCTGGCTAGGCAAAGCAAGTCAGCAAGGCTTCTGGGCACAGCCCCGCTCTACAGGACAAACACTTTTCCAGAGAAAACATGACATGCTTCTCCTCATTGAGTTTGGTGCAACTTTTCTTCCCTCCTCAACTTCCCTCTTCTCCACAGACGGAGGATGGAAGAATTAAGTGTAGACAGAGATTAAAACCAGCAGATACGAACAATGGAGACTGACTTTGGAGAAATAACACAAGTTTATTCTGATTTTTAAGGTGGTCTGACCTGTTTTTCTTTTTATGCTGTGGTACAGATTTTCTAGTTGTAACAGGACATTTATATGAGTTAACAGGACATCTGCACAACCGGTTAACGGAACACACGTACAGACACTTACCCTTAAAAGTTGAATGCCTCCGAGATGGGTATCGCTTGCTGGGCCTTCTTTCAAATGTACTAGTTCTGCGTAATCTTGTCCCATGCGTTGCTTGATACTCTGTTCGCCCACTTAAAATACAGAAACAAAGTTAAGTGCTGCCCTTCACTGCGTGCTGTAACTCCTCCTTTGCATAAACACAAACATATTGCTGTTGCTTTGCTAAATACCTGAATCTGAAGCGTGATCCCAGCCTTATGAAGTCGGATCTACTCGATTTACTATTTGCTGGGGCTCGCAATCTGAAGAAAGCATGGTGCTCCACCGCGCACTTCCACAAATGTTTGCACGTTTTGGCACTGTCTAACCGGAAAACAAACGTGTGCTCTTGCTCTCTGCCCTAAATGCAGAAACAAAAGCTTTGGAAGCTGGCGGGCATGGTATTAGTTACTGTCCTCGGCAGGAGAAATACAGCCTGGGCCAACAGTGTGCTGAGCCTCCCTTGTGTTCTTACCGGCCTGAGCACACGCACCCCCCGCTCTCTGTTGGATCAGGCCCAAGTAAGGGAAGAGAAAAGTTACCTGTTCATCATCTTCTACAACCACAAGTGTTAGTTTGCTCTTTTTAAAGTCCATTTTTGTGATTTTAGGCCTAAACGCAAGAAGCAAGAAGAAAATTAATGGAAAAATAGTATTTTGTAATTTAGGATAACCCTCCAAAACATATGAGCGATCTGCAATGCTGGAACACCTCAGGAATCACAATAAAAGGTATGATGTCCTGGAAATGTGACCATATTTTAACAGATATTTCACATTTGAGAGTGGGGCTTCTAAGCAGGCCAATTTACCTACAGATTTAGATTCCATCTACGTTACAAAATGCAGTCAGGACACTTATGTTAAAGAGAGACATTTCAGCATTTTAACAGAAAGGAATAGAACACAAAAACAGATTACCAAAAAAATAGGCCTATTTTGTTGGCTCCTTCAAAGATCAATATGCCTGTTGGTGTCAGTCCAAGAGCATATTCACAACCATCTCTTCCCTGCAAGCAAGCACAGAATCAATAATTGATATGCCATTAGTAGTGTAAATCTTACTACAGTAGTACGTCAAAATACATAGGTTTTAAACTAAACCATAAGGTTTGCATATTTATTTAACATAACAGAGCAGAATATGTATCTGCATTGGGTGCAAACTAGCAGGGTTTTGGCAACAGGGAGCTGCAGGGTGCCCCACATGGGAGTAGGCTGTGTGCCACCCCAGATGCCTGTGGAAACGGCCCCACACCAGCCCTGCAGCCAGGGAAGCCCACATCTCGCCTCACACGTGTTTAAGAGCAAGCAGGAGGTGCCAGAGGGAGAAGAACAAAAGGCAAAGTTTGAGGGACATGGGAAAAGGCATGTGGAAAGGGATTCCATGGGAGACATGGCTGGAGATGCACTCTTGGGAGGAGCCTCCCCCTGCAGGAAGAGGCCCTGCTGAGGGACCATGGCCCAGGGGCAATCCACACCACACCAGGGACCCCCCTGAGGGACTGACCCACAGCAGGGCAGGGACACACCTGAGGTGTGATGGCTCACGGGACAACCCCAAGGGACTGCAGCCTGCAGAGAACCCTTACAGGGTTTCCTGACCCTGAGGGACAGTGGCCCACATGTGGACCCACATCGCAGCAGAGGAGCAGCAAGAAGCACAGGTCAGCAGAGGAAGATGATGGAGAGGCATGAAGCAGCACAAAAACTGTCCTGTGGATGACCTCAACCTTGTGGGCTGCTGTGGGAGGGTAGGAGTGTAACCCGCTGGGAAAACAAGGGAGGCTGGCACTAGGAAGAGGGGAGGAGAGGTGCTGGACTTAAGTTGAGCTGGGGAATGGGAAGGAAATGCATTTCTGTGTTTGTATTATTGTTGTCTACTTTTTGGTCTTTACCCAAATCAGTAATTAAATGCTTATGTTAACTGGCAGTATATTAAATTACATTAAATTCCAAGTCAAGGCTGTTTTGTCTGAGACAGCATCTCCATTCAATGTTCTGACAGGACATTCATAAAATAAAGTATGACATGGAGCTTACCTTAACTACATGCATATCTACACCATACATTTCTAGCCATTTAGCTTTGTTCAAGTAGCACAATTCGGCCTGCGCTGGGCTCTTTCCCCTAAGAACATAAAATTTATTTACACTTTAGGGTAGGAAACTTTCGTCTGTTTAAAATGTTTTAAAATTTGTTCCCCTAGCCCTTTTCTTTGGGCCTTCAATCCTCAATGACACTAAATGGTATTTCAAGCTTAGCTTATGTTTTTACCCTTTTCCCTCCAAAGAAAAATAAATGATTCTATAAAAATAAATCAGAGGGAAAAAACATTGAAGTCTAAAGTTACCAATAAGGATGAAGGTTCAGGATGACAGCATCACCAAAACATACTGTATTTATTAACAAAAGATCAGAAAAACTATTTGCTACTGCCCTGAACAAAAAACTTTACATGTGTACAAATCAAAAAGAAAGAATTTTTTCCAGCTCAAACAGAAAAAAGATCAGACTGCTTAAACTGTTATGACATCACCTGAAGAAAAATAATCAACAAAAAGAAAAACTCACCCTACCAATCTTCCCTAAATTACCCCTTCCCATTTCTAAGGAAGGGGAGGGCTCCAAGTCTGTCTAGAATACTTCTCAATTGACAAACATAATTGCCATTTCACATCTGCTGAAGGGGTTCTCATGGACGTATTTGACTTTAGAAGAGAAGAAAACCTCCTGTTGCTAGGAGACACCACTCCCACACAGGTACCCTACCTGCACTCTTTCAATTTC